TCCATTGATGCACATGCCTGTTTTTGTTCTGATACCATGCTGTTTTATTATTATTGTTTTGCAATATAGCTTCAAGTCAGGTATTGCTATGATATTTGCTTTGATTTTATTGGTCAGAACTACCTTTGCTATTCTGAGTCTCTTTTGATTTCATACAAATTTTATGATTGTTTTTTCTAGGCCTGTAAAGGATGCTGTTGCTATTTTCACTTAGACTGCATTTAATTTGTACAACAGTTTTGGAAGTATGGCCATTTTGATATTGGTGCTGCCTATCCAGAAGTAGGAGACACCTTTCTATTTTTTCAGTCTTTTCAGGATACTGTTTTCTTTGCAGAGATCCTTCATTTCCTTCAATAGATTAATTTCTAGATATTTCATTTTTCTTGAAGCTACTGTGAATGCTATATGTATGCCTTTTCTTTCTTTCTCTTGACTAATTCCTTAGGCTCATGTGTCAATTACTGTGTTGAAGAGAATAGGTGATAGTGGGTATCCTTGTTGTGTTCCTAATCTTTTTTTTTTTTTTTTTTATCGGTACCGGGGATCGAACTCATGACCACCTGCTTGCAAGGCAGGTTCTTATGCCACTGAGCTAAATCCCAAGCCCTGTGTTCCTAATCTTAAGGAGAATGCTTTTATTCTTTCCCCATTTAATATGATGCTGGTTTGTCATAAACAGCCTTTTCATATTCATGTATGGTCCTTCTATGCCAACTTAGCTGAATATTTGTATGTTTAAGTTAAATAGTTCTGGGAAAGTACCTACTATTGCCATTTTTTAAAAAGTATTTTTCTCGGGGCTGGGGATTTAGCTCAGTGGCATAAGTGCCTGCCTTGCAAGCAGGTAGTCGTGAGTTCGATCCCTGGTACCAATAAAAAGGAAAAGTACAAAAAAAAATAAGTATTTTTTCTGTTGTAACATTTTTCCCAGTTTTCCTTTCTTCTTGGCTTAAGTTTTCTTGGGACATTATTTATTTTACTCACATTTCCCTATATGTACATTCTGTGTTTTCTTTGTTATTATTGCAATTACATGCAATATCCTAGATATAACAATCTCCTAACTTGATAACAAATTCAATTATGTGTAATAAGTCTACTACTTCCCTCCTACTTTGTTGATATGGCACTAAGTTCTCACCTTTGCATGTCTTTTAATGGAGATGTATGATTACTCAATGCTTTTAAAAATTCTATACAAGATTTATAAGTGATTTGGATATATTATAAAAATTTGTCTGCATACTTATTTTTACCTGGGGATCAGTGCATTTTCAAACTGTTTTGTGTTTTTGTTTTCCACCCTTTTTCCGCAATTTATAAACCTCTCTTCTCCTGTCTGCATTACTTGGAGAATTTGTCTTGTGATAAGCTCCAACAGAGCTTAAATTCTCCATCATTTTGAGCATTATTTTTGCTGAATATAGTACACTTAATTAGCAATTATTTTCTTTTCCTATTTTATCATCTCACCTCCTTCTAGTCTCCATTGTTTCTATTAAGAAATCTGTTTGTGATCTAACATTAGCTTCATTTTACTTTTTTGATTTCAAAATCCCTTGTCTCTTTGCTCTGAATTTTAATGATTTGATTAAATTGTATCATGAGGCTGGTTTCTTTAGATTTATCCTCGCTAGACTGTTTTTGAAATTCTTGAATATTTATGTCTTGTTCTTTCCTAAGATTTAGGAAATTTGGGGCCATTATTTGTTCACTTTCTCTGCTCTTTCCTGTCCCCTGCTGTTCATGCATACGTTGCCCTTGATGGTGTTTTGTGATTCCCATGGGATCTTCATGGCTCCTAGTTTTTCTCCTCTGCTCCTCTGCTTCAGTAATTATGAATGTCTTATATTTGATTTCACTGATTATTCTGCCCAATTAAGTCAGCTGTTGGTTTAGGAAAGTTCAGCTATTATTTTTCTCTTAGGAATTTCTCTTTGATTACCCATCTTTTCTGTATCATGGCATGTGATATTTTCTTTAGAGGCATGAAATGTCTCTAACTTCATTGTTATCTTTCCATGCTGTACTTTAATGTATTAAGCATATGTGGCAGAAACTTTTAAATTTTCTGGAAATTCCTATTTTTCCCTTTCTTTGGATCCCTTGCTTGGAGAGTTATTTATCTAAATTGTCCAGATTCTCTTTCGGTGTATGAGAGAAAGCATATATATATATATATATATATATATATATATATATATATATACATATATATATGGCTAGATAATATATATTTATTATTATTATTATTGTAGTATTTGAAACATCAGGCATGTCTTTCAAATTTTGGAAATCTGGTTTTCTATATGAGGAACTTTCTTCATTTATCTTCACAAAAGACTCCGGAATCCTCAAAAGCCTTTAGGGTACCCATTCCTTTCTGCCCTTTGCAGGCTTGTATAGAATGTTTTGTTTTTCACAATTTCAAAAATTTCTGGTTTTTTTTTTGTTTTGTTTTGTTCTGTTTTGTTTTTTGAAGGTAGTAAAATACAACAGAACAAAACCAATCGAGACAATGCTGTGAAATTGATACAGAACTTCAGAGCAGAATACCAGGACGACAGTAATAGATACTATAGTCTATCTCGATATCTTCACAACAGTTGTCCATTCAATCAGGTATAGCAAAATCAAACCCAAAACAGAACATTATAAAACCTATCAAAACAGAATATTGAGTAGAGAAAAACAATTCATCAGAACAAAGCAAAAGAGTGATAACAATATTGTCCTTCAAAGAAGATAGAAGGAAATCCCCCATATTTGTTATATTGCATATGATCATCCTCCCAAGAGACCTCTGGCCCCAGTTGCTAAGGGGAGGGGGGAAGATGGGATGCACCAATAGGCTCATGGGAGATGCTGACTGGTACTCTTCTTGGTTCATCTGCCACTTGAGCCATGGCTGCCTCCCAGGAATGTAGAATCTTTTATTTGAAGTTTTGCTTCCTCTGGGCAGCTCCCTCCCCTGGTATCTGTGCTGCTCTGACCTTTAGTGGCTTAGCATATTATGGTGCTGGAGCGCCACCTGGTGCTTTGTTTGGTAATGCAAAATGATGCACGTTTTTAGTTACTGCTCTTAGATCTGCTGTTATCCCAAGAGGGTGCCTGTTCCTATCAGTATATTGGAACAAGCAAGGCACAAGCTGGCTCTTCGGCAGTAAACATTAGACATAAATGATTTCGACGTTTCCTCCAAATTGCACCGGGCAGAATGAAGTGAAAGGTGATCTGGTGAGAGGGTGGATAGAATCATAATTTTCCTGCAAGGTTTCTAAGTGTTTGCATTTGTACCAGCCTGGGGTTCAGGAAGCCTGTATGAATTGGTTTCTGACGTTCTCACAGGGGAATTTAGTCGGTCTGTTGACTCTGTGTATTGTAGGGGAACAAGACCCAAGGCTTTCTCTTCTGCCATCTCCTGATGGCATTCTCTCTCCCACTTTGGTTATTTGCTTTTGTTTTTTAATCTCTGGGGCTAATGAAATTAGTTTTTGAAATTATGTTATAAATTTTCATTAATAATTCTAATATATATATATATATATATATATATATATATATTTCTACAGGATATCTGAAGTGATTCTCCTTAAAGAACTTTTTTGTTTTTTCCAACTCCCTTTGTTCAGTCATATCATTCTCCTGTGAGTTTTGTTCTTCCCACTGTCAACTTTAGAAAAACTATTTTTGACATCTTTCACTTTTTGTCTTTCATTTTAGTTGATTTCCTTTATTTCATATAAAAATTCTTAATTATATCTAATAAGTTGTATTGACAGCCCTTCTCAAATTTTTCTTAACATATAAATTGACACATCCTGTAGCTAATAATTTTATTAAAGTGAAAATTAATATACATATAACCACTGCATAATAGGTTGACAGTCTGTCAGGTATATTGTTCATAGAATTTCCCTTGGTCACTTGAAACCTCCATTTTTCAACTAGCTTTCTGGAAATGCTGCCTTTGTGAATGTCCTGCCTCAGACTTTGGTTGGACTGTGTCAACCACCTGGAAATAAACAGCTGACCATCCTGGGCAATGGAGAATGTTGTCTTGCCTTCTTATGAAATGACACTAATTAAAAGCAGCAACCTTAACTATATTAATATTATAATCTGATATTGTAAGCAAAAATCAGAGTGGAGAGTCCTAAAAACTAAAGATAGACATTTCAATTCATCCAGATGTCCCTCTTCTAGGTATCTTGCCAAAAGAAGTACAAGTATCATATTAGAGGGATACATGCATGCCCATATTAATGGCAGCACAATATATAATAGCTAATTTTAGAAAACATACATGTCCATCAACAGATGAGTGGGAAAGGAAAACATGTTTATACACAATGAAGTACCACTTTGCCATAGAAAAGAAAAACTTGAAAAATCTGTCCAGTAAATCAATAGAACTAAAGAATTTAAGTGAATAAAGTCAAATACACAATCTAAAATATCTCATGGTTTCTTTTATATGAGGAACTCAAAGTACATACACACACACACACACACACACACACACACACACGTATAGATTCAAGAGCAAAATTGAAAAAAGATAAATAGGAGGTGGGGAGAGGTTCAGATGATTCTCCAAAATACTTATTCCATTCTTTCAAAAAAGAAAACTAGTGTATATTCTGATGTGTTGCATTTATACTACTAGTTTTTCTCAGTTTACCAAGAATAAAGTTTTGTACCAATTTCAGTTTGTTTTTTCTTTGCAAAACATAATCTTGTTTGTTACCTACAAGATAACAATACACTGTGTATTAACTATTATTTTTTAATAAAATTTTATTGCTTTATAAAATAAAAAACAAGAAAATTATACTTTTATCTGTACAGCATTGGTAATATTAAAAAGGAAAGGTAAGTATGGTTTTACATTAAAAATATTGTTTTGAAGTAAAAAAGAAAATTCCTAACATGTGCATATATCCATACTCTGATCTTCTGGTTGACAATTTCCCCTTTCCTTCTGCTTATCTTAGGTTTTCTTGACAGCTCTGTCATTTATCTTCATTTGCAAGACATTAGGTGGAATCATTATGAAAACTTCCATCACTCAAATAGAACGGAGGTTTGACATTCCCTCTTCTACTGCGGGTTTAATTAATGGAGGCTTCGAAATTGGTAACTTTTATTTTTATATTAATAACCAGGCTTGCAGAGAGCAAATGCTGGCCATACATGCTCTCCACCTGTGGTTGTCCCTCAGGGCTAATTAGCTAATACCTGAATACATTTTTGGCTGGTAAAACTTCTGTGGCTGCGTGTGAACTGGTATGGAGGGTTAGAGCCATGGCTGTGTTAAGCATCCTACAAGGCCCAGAATAACATCCAACAACAAAAAATTACACAGCACCAAATGTCTGCAATTAGAATACTGAAAAACTCGAATCTCACACAAATACATGCTTTCATATTAACGTCATGTGAGGCTATGTCTTGCCTCTCTCCATTTTCCCAAGTGAAAAGAAAGGTTGATTTTTGGAACAAACTATGTTTGGTTCCTATTATTCTTAGATGTTTGAGGTTAAGACTTTTTGTCTCAACACTGAACACAGTGTTTTTTGTCTTCATTTCACTTTTATTGTGTTCTCCTATATTCATGAGTATTGTAAATTTAAACATTACTGTTTCTTGCTTTATGAATTTTGTCTGGATTACTCAACTTTTTGTCACTGTGACAGAAAACCTGAGAAAATTAATTTAAAGGAAGAATGATTTATTTTGGCTCATGGTATCAGAGTCTCCATTTCATTTATTAACATTTTGAAGTGATAATGTGGACATGGGATTTTAAAAACCAAAATATTTTTATTAGATCTATTTGATTTGTTCTGTTGTACAGTATTGACCTGTACTGTTTTATAACATTCAATGCTGAATGTGAGAAATTATAACCCGTATGATTACCCTAAATTTATATGCACCTTATTATATTCTAGAGTCTCAGAAATTGTACCAGAACATGTCTACGGCTGTCTTTTTCTATTTTACTGTTGTTGACTGAAGAAATAATTCACTGAAGGCTTAACTCTTTTGTTGGCTTAAGAAAATTATATTTCTTTTTTGTCTTATCTATTTTCTTATTTCTTTCTGAACCAGCTATAAAATCAATACTAAATTTTCTAAATTATTGTTTTCCTCCCTACTTTCTACTATTTCTTTATTGTTCCAGAAACCTTTTCAGGTTCTGAGTACTGTCCTCTCTTGTGGAGGTCTAATTTGTTGGGTTTTCTATAGTTATTTATGATCATATTATTTATTACTATTTTTTTTTAGTTTTCCAGTTTTGATTTTACAGACTCAAGATATTGTTATACATCTGAAGATAATAACTATTTCAATTTCTCCTTTAAAAAAGTTTGATCTTAATTGTTTCTCTTCATATACCCACTTATCTGCTGAATCTCTGTAATTCTTTTTTGTCAAAATTTTTTCTATCAGATATTCAGTAATTGCTTGGTTTCTATCTGTTCATTACTATATTTGAAGCTTCTGATAGAACAAAAATTTGGGTGATCCCCCATTTAGAATGCTCTCTTTATTCTTTTTAACCAAAATAATTTGCTAATAAATGTCTAGTGACCTTCTGGAATCCTTCCTAAGTCCACTAATTTTTTTTTTTAATTTCTGTCTTTGTCTCTCTCTGTCTCTCTGTCTTTGTCTCTGTCTCTGTCTCTCTTCCTCTGTCTCTGTCTTTGTCTCTGTCTCTGTCTCCGTTTCTCTCTGTCTCTCTGTCTCTTTGTCTCTCTCTCTCTCTCTCTCTCTCTCTCTCTCTCTCTCTCTCTCTCAGTACCTCTGTCCAGCTATCCATTTTAATCACAAGTATGTAAAATTTCTTAGGGACAAGCATCACTATTTATTTGTTTTGTATTTCTGGCTCTGGACACCATGCCAAGTACATAATAGGAGTATAAAAATGGCTGACTAAGTGTATTAGTGGATAGATTCCCTCAAGTAGGAAGATTTTTCTTCCTTTTTTCCCCCCTTGCAATACAATCTAGCCAATTCAAATTATTCACTAAAATTCTGCTTCATTAATATGGACCAAATGTTTCAAGTGATTTCTCTAGTATCTAAAGCCTACTCCAAACTTTTTAAAGTCCAATGACATGTGCGGTGCTTGTACTATTTATTAAAAATGCAGTCTACTTATTAGGAAAATGAACTTTTGCAATGCCTGGTTTGTTTGTTGTTGGGTGAGTTTCACCTCCGCTAAGCTATCTAGTCTTAGAGAAAAGGTTTCGTATTTGTGCTCTATTGGCATTACCTTGTGCTTTTGTTTTTATTGATTATAGTCAATATTTGCTGGGGTGGATCATGCCAATGTATTTTGTTCTCTTGGTAGGAAATTTGTTTGTGCTCGTGTTTGTAAGTTACTTTGGATCCAAACTACACAGACCAAAGCTAATTGGAATCGGTTGCATCATTATGGGAGCTGGAGGTGTCCTGACTGCTTTGCCTCATTTCTTCATGGGACAGTAAGTGTTAATCATTTCTGTGTTGTTCATCCTCATCATCATGTGCATTCGTAGCATAATCTCATTTTTATTTCTTTTAAATTGGTAGTTGTGTATTTAGAGAAGAGTGCTTAAAACTATGTATAGACATAGGACATGGTGGCACATGCCTGTAATCCCAGCCCTAGGAATGCAGAGGCAGAAGAATTGCTGGCACTGTGCATTACAGAGTGAAACCCTGTCTCAACCTCCCTCCCAAATGTATAGAAATGTGTGTTTTGTATGTAATAATTCACCAAGTGTTTTATTTATCACAATTTTTATAGATTTAGATGTGCATAGCACTATATAAAGGAAATATTTTCATAATAAATAAACTCTTTGTGACTCTTCATATAACAAATGTAGTTTGTATCTTTTCCTATGAGTCATAGATTACATTCAGTAAGACTTCACTACTCAACCCTCTGAAGTGTGGGCTTTCTCACAACCATTGTATTATTCTTCCTAGGGCCACTGGGTAGGCCATTCTTCTGAAGGTCACCATATACCTGGGATTAGAATCAGATTCTTATGAGAAAGGACTTAAAGTAGCAACTGCTCACATAGACTGAAGCTAGTTTTCACCTCACAGTTAATGTGAAAAGCCATCCCATTTGCCATGATGCTCATTTCATCATCTTGCCCTACCATGCATGGTTTTGGCCTCAGTGTTGGTCCAGGTAACAGGAGCTACGAAAAGAAGAAGGAGGAGGAGTAGAAGGGGAAGAAGGGAAGAGGGTGAGGAGTGGGAGAGAAAGAGGAAGAGGATGATGATGAAGAAGAGGAACAAGAAGAAGGAAAGGATGGAGAAGAAGAAAAGGAAGGAGAAGAAGAAAAAGCACAAAAGTACCCACAAGATGAAGGCTAAGAGCTACTTTAGAGATATTTCAGATGCACACCTCTGCCAACTTCACAGTGCCCACACTAGTTCCATTTTCACAGATAGAAAACGCATTTTGGTCTGCCATGTTCTCACTTAGAAATCAACTTCAGTTACTGCTGAAGGAGAAAACAATGGATATTGAGAAATACCATTTCTGTCTAAGACAAGGGCTTACTCACTGTCAAATTCAACAATTGTACCTTTTGCTCACAATAGTAACTTCAATTTTTCTACATTTACTTTTGTAAGAGCTTTTCTCATGTGATATTACTACTTCTAGTCTTTAGACCTAGTTTCATCTTCACTGCTTTGTGTAACTGGAGACCGTATTCAAAGGCTTCAGACTCAAAATCATGTCACACTTTTGCATGGACTGTTCAATAGCCTTGAATGCTTTTCATCCTTTGTCTACCTGTGAAACTTCTGTCCACCACTGAGATTCATCTCACATGTTATTCTTACAGGAAATTTGAGTGTACCCTCTTCCCTGCCTTCAAGAAAAACCTGATCATCCTTTGCTTTATGACAATTCAGGGCCTTGAGTATTAAACTTACATCTTCTATCATGTATATTTATCTTAAATAATGCAAAATTGTCTGAATACAAAAATTTCATGTTTAGTTCAAGTTTTTGAAGTGGTACATAACGTCTGGTGTACTGTATGGCTTTTGGAGATACAGGGAACATCAACTTTGTTAGGTATCAGCATTTCTCCCTAATCTAATTTCACTTCTGCTAATCTTGTTAAATTTTCCCTCTTCAAGTTGAAATACGTTAGATTGCTTCCCTAAGTTTGAAGAGTTGAATATTGAAGTTATATGTCCATTCACGAAAATAAATCAGGTTGCTCACCAAAAATGGAAATGGACCAGCGTATATTACAGATTGGAGAGCAGAAATCTAAGGGTTTATTTATTTATTTATTTTGTATTTTTGAGACACGGTCTCATTATGCAGTTCTGGCTGACTGTGGGCTCATCTTGTAGCCCAGGCTGGCCTCAAACTCTTGAGGATCCTTGTGCCAAGTTCTGGGATTATAGATGTGCACCACCATGTTAGGTTCAATCTTAAATTTTTAAAAAATGTTATCATAATTTATTATAAAGTTTAGATTGTAACATTTAGGTCATCTTTGCAAATAATTCAGAGGGTCAAAAACTGACAAACTGTTTCATATCTTCACCAGAATATAACCAATCCTAGACTGAGAACAAGGTAACATTTCATCCTGCCCATGGAGCTTTCTTAGTGGAGAGTCCCCTTCCACATCTCTCTTAAAGCACAGACTGGATAGCAGGTATAGAGGAGTCTGATAATTTGGAGAAGAAGGAAGTACAAATAAAATATTCCTCGGGTTTTCTGAGACAATAAAAGTATGTTGCAGATAATCTGGTGATCTATTCACAGTTACAGGTACTCTGCAGAAACCCATGATAATGCATCAGAGTTTTCATTGTCTGCTTGTTCAATTGATAAAACTTCATCACCCACTGAAATATCATCCAAAATAGTAGCAAAAGGTAAGAATTAATAGTAATTATAAAAGTATTCTGAACTTTAAAACATTAATTATATTTATAAATGGTTTTGGTGTTTGTTACTGAATACCAATTAAAGATAAATAGGGAAACATTTGACATTTACATACAGATAACATCATAGTGTTAATACAAACTGTGTAAAGAATTTTCAGAAGTAGATAAAGAAGTGAGATTTAAGTAGGAAATTTGTGAAGAACATGTGAATTTGAAATTAAGGAGTAAGAACCAGTCTAAATATGTATAGAAACTTGCCATTTGAGAAATTGTAAACTACTACACCATTGTAACATAAATCATAAACTATAACCATAAATTATATTGCTAGAGTGTTTCCTATCTATTAGGATTAAAGTTAACAAATGGAAAAGATTAAAGGGAGGAAAAATATTTTATATTTTTAGTATGGTTGGGAGGATGTAAATTTGTAACTTTCTAGAGGTTGACAATATTAAAGAACAAAAACATTCCTCATTATTTACTTATTCTATTGTTATTCTACTATTACTGATTAATCTCATGGATGTAATTAACATTGTACACAAAAATTTATTTACACTTGTTACCAAGTCAAACCTGCTATATAAAATTTAAAATTAGGACTATTTCACTATCTAAAGATATATGATAAATATTGTTATTCTACACAATACTATGCACTTGCTAAAATTCTTGTATGAAAAACAACATGAGGGGAAAAGCGTGGTAAGCTTGTCAGAATACAATTTTAACTGTAAAAATACTATTAACTACATATTTGTCATATATATAATGAGTATTATGCATATTTTTATGTGCACTAGCATGTAGATGTGTAACAAAATATTAGCCGTGACTTTTTCTGTGTAGTAGAATCTCAGATAATTTTTACTCATTTCTTTTTTCTTTCCTGTACTATCAAATTCTACTATGTGAATATGAATAACAAAATTAGAAGAAAAAACAAAGTAGAACTACTTCAGGGTTTAAAGTAATTGAGCTCATGATAGGAATTTGGTCATTAAATTATTGCTTAAAATAAAGTACTGTCTTTTCTACATAGGTTGTGAGAAGGAATCCAAATCATACATGTGGATCTATGTCCTAATGGGTAACATGCTTCGTGGGATAGGGGAAACCCCTATAGAACCCCTAGGAATTTCTTACCTTGATGACTTTGCAAAAGGAGGACAATCCTCTGTTTATATAGGTAAAGCACAGAAATGTTCAATTGAATGAGAACTTTTTCTGGCCTATCCTTGAAATAATAATGCTACTGTTACCACTCTTACTATTGTTTTACCTGGAAGAAATAATTTTGAAAGATGTATAAAACTACTTCTAAAAACATGGTGGGTAAAAAAACATGAATGCTTAAAACCTGATGCATTCTCTTTGTAATTTTTCAGGTATTCTGAATGCAGTATCAACTATTGGCCCGATCCTAGGCTTTACAATGGCATCTGTGTTTGCTAAAATGTATGTGGACATTGGATATGTAGATCTGAGTAAGTATAATCACAGCAAGCTAGCATCATTGAAACTCTCAAGTACCTAACACTGTTCCACCATATAACAAAATCCACTCTTCTAATATTCCTCTGCTTAATATTTTTCAAATTTACAAATTGAAGAAAGAGCATTCATAATCACAATAAAAATAAAATTAAACTTTTACTGTACCATACTGTTACAACTAAGTATACAATGAGAAACTTTAGCAAACTTGTTTTAGGTTACTTGATCCAAAACAATCAAATTTGAACTACTTTGTTTTCAGTATAACTGACCACTCAGTCAAGTAAATTTCAAAATTTGGTTGATAGTAGATTGGGTATTGAAGTGCAGAACCTAGAGTTTGCTTCGTTAACTGTGAGGCTGCAGGCTGACTGATAGCTGGAGTGGTTTGAGGGCTGCACTGTGCACTTTGGTTTTTGGTCACTTAGTCTGGTCCTGGCAGAGACCTTAACATGTGGAAACTTGCAGAACATGCTGCGGAGCAAACCAGTGACGCAATGTTCACCTAAGTGACATCCTGACCTTCTTCCAGCTCAGGGCACTTTCCTTCATGAATCCAAGAGATAGTGGGCATGATGTGGAAACTTCCTCAAATTCAACTCGTCTTTCCAGCAAATACACCTGCACCATATCTGTTTTCATTTGTTCCCCACCCAGTGGATAAGGTATCCATCATCCAGCTGGGTCTTGTACTCCCTCTTCCTGCCTCTTCCAGGATTTAGTTCCTTCACTTTGCTTGACTCATCTCATATCTTAAATTTGCCATTTTTCCACTCTTTTTCCTCAGGGAAAAATGCTTTTATGTCTCCTTTTCTTCCTTCCTATGTAATATCTACTTACATCCTTATCTATCTTTTATTTTAATAAATATAAAAACATAAAATAAATATTATGAATGATTTCTATAAACATGATTTTAGATGTGCACATATAAATAGAATGATTGTATGGCTTTTATACTCACAAACAGCTTCCTGGATGGTTTTCTGTTTTTCTTTCTCTTCAAAGCCGAACACCTTGAAAAATAATAAAAAGCTGAAGACTTTCATTCTTCCCTCCCTTTCACCTCTCAATTATAATATATCTAGCTTCTATTACTCATAAAAATGCAATCAGTTTCTACCTGATTTACCTGTAACAGATATTTTTTTCACAGCATCTTAAACGGATACTTTCAGTGCACGCTCATTTACTTACTTTTTAGATATCTGATAAACACCAGAACTCAAGTCAAAATACAGTTCAGCAGTACAGAAATTTTAGAAGACGCTTGCATCATAAGTGCTCTCTATTGGTGGGTTCATAATTGGATCGTATTACTGGGCAGTGATGGAAATGTAAGAAGAGGATCCTAGTGAAGTTATTGGTTCAGAAGACTGTTACCTTAGGAACTACATCTTATTGTCAGCCTTCACTTCTCCGACTCTTTGCTTTTTCTTCCTTACCTTCAGGTGGTAAGCAGCTTAGCTTAACTATGTCCTTTTGCGGTGAAAACACAGAGGCAAGGGCGTTGACCATGGACTGCTATACAATCATTTATTGCTATACAATCATTTATTTGATGATCCAAGGCTTGCTAACCTGCCATCCTGTTACTGTCTTATGCAATCTCTCAAACTTGGACTACTTTATACTTACTGAAACAGTTCATTTACACTTGATATATAGCATTAATATATTCTCATGTAATATTTAAAGGAAAAAGTAGCATAAAGAATGTGTCTTGTTGCAGTCAGGGTTTGCAAGGAGAATGATACAATACAGGACAAATAATTTATAGTATTATTTTATAATTGTCATAAAAATAGTTAAATACAAGAACTTCAGTAAATCTTTCCACACACTAAAGACCCAAGGAATCCAGCCAAGGGCCTGGATCCCACAGCACTGTCCTGCCGTGGGTCCAGCTGAAGATATGGAGCCCATGAACATGCCTCACAGGAGTACAATGGGATATCTAGAGCCCGTAATATCTCATGCAAGTCTGTTTCATGGATCTGTGCTGGGAAGGCCAAATGGCAGTGGTGGAAATTAGGAAGTCTGTGCCAGTAGGTTGAGGGTTCTGTATTGGAACCAGGAAGAACCAGCACTCCCCCGAAAAGTACCACGGCCATCCTCAGCAACAACAAAGTCCTGAGCTCTTGTGATGATGAGAGCAGACTAGCCCATATCAGGAAGCCAGTATGACTATCTTCTCCAGGAGTTTGAACAGCATACCATCTTCCCCTCCAGAGTCAGGAAGCAAAGCTCAAAGTAAGGACCAGCGTTCCCCCAAAGTGAGCCATAGCCATTCTCAGCCACAACAAGGTCCTGAACTCCTGTGATAATATAAAACAGCCAAGGTCATATCAGGAAAGAAGCTCAACATGCTATGCCAGTAAAACCAACAGCAACAGAGAAACCAACAGTGCCATGGAGAACCAACAATACTACCTCTCTCTTTCCAGTTCTCCTTTTTATCTTGACAATAATTCTCAGGTGGACACACCATACTGATTCAGTTCAGCAGTATTTTACAAGTTGATCAACAGTTAACAGTCCACCATATGGCTAAGATAATTTACATTTACAGCCTAATTTTTATTTTGTCTAACTTTTTAAGTGGCTTTCAAACTCATATCTTCATTGCATATTTTTTTTTTTTGCCAGTTTTATCGTTTGTGCTGACAGCAGAGTTGTAAATGTAGGTTTCTAGGGGTGAGGAAAAGTCCTTCTAGTAGCTCTGAGTACTTTCTGTTAACTGCTTTACGTTTCATTGCTGGTATTTTCTTGACCTCAGCAGATGGTAGTGATAGATGTTTGCAGATGATGATGATGAGAATTCTTACACTTTCCATGGTTTTAAAGTCAGTTTTAAGCTTACATATCTCATGTAGGGAGGTCAGGCTTAAATATCCAAATTAGGGAGATCATCAGTGATGTTGATAGAAAAGCCGTGGAGTTTATATTCTCAAGATCAAGCTATGACAACAACGTCATGACTGATTCCAGGACAACAACTATTACATGTTATCAGATGCTAGACTGTTCTGAAGTGATAAAGTAGGAAAAGAAATAAATAATGCTATAAAATTGAGGCACTATAGTTTACTTTGATCTTCTAGGAAGAAAACAATCACTGGCAATGTTGTCCAACACTTATTTTATTTCAAAGTGATGTTGATGGTCTTCTTCTAATTATTTATTCTAGGCAGCATCAGAATAACTCCCCAGGATGCCCGCTGGGTTGGTGCTTGGTGGCTTGGTTTCCTTATATCCGGACTACTTTCCCTTATTTCTTCCATACCTTTGTTTTTTCTACGCCAAAGTCAAGATGAACCACAGGAACAAGGAAGGGAAGTTTCTACACCTTTGCAGGGACTCAAACCGGATAAAGAAAAAGATCAAACAGCTTATTTAACTGAACATGGTCAAGATGTTACTATGACTGGTAAGAATTTTACATTCATAGTTTATATGGAAATGTTAATAACTAGGAGAAGGAAAAATGAGTATTCCAAAACAGTAACACATCCAAATAACCTGAAATTAGCTTTCTATGTGCTAGATTTAGCTAACTGTTTTTCTCAAATTCATATTAAAGTTAATGTACATTTCCTGAGCATCTGGAAAACTGAATAGAAATAGGTGTATGGCCTTAATCCTGGAGAAAACAACAGAAGAGTTTAACATCTATTCCATACAAACTAGAATATATATTAGTTTCAAAGTTATATAGTATAGAACATTACTGAGAGCTAAATGAGCTGCAGTGTTTCATTATTTCACTTATTGAGCAGATAGTATTCAGGCACCTACTATGTCCTGGTGACATAAAGTTGCTTCTGTTTTCCAAGAATTTACTATTGCAATAAATTGCTTGATGCTGTGAAGTACAGATATAGACACAATTTTTAAAATTCTTCTTAGTGACTGGTGCTTCAGGTTAAATTAACTGACTTGGAATAAGAAGGAAGTCAGAAAGCTTTCTCAAACTCTAGGTAATTAGAGTAAAATTACTTTTTGGATAATTTTCCTAAAAACATTAGTGTTTCCCCAAATGCTCAAAACTAAAGTAGGAAGCACAGTGGTGGTTAAAATACGAGGTGTCGTTAATGTGAATCAGAAGGCTTCAGTCTTTGTAGTCCCTTCTCTTGAAAATGTAAGATCTGTGCACTAGAGAAGAACCACTGAGAAGCAGTGATCCTCAGCAGTCAGAGAAAAATAGTACAAATAATGAAGTGTCCGCATTAGTTCTGAGCTTGCAAAATGTGTGAAATTGTAAGACAAAGCAATGCACTACCTAAACCCTGGACAACCTTTTCCAGGTGACATTTCGTGGGATTGTACATTCTCAATTCTGCCCAAGATCTTCCCCATCAGCTTTTCAATTTACCTCCTCTGTTCTTCTCTTCATGATTTATCCCTCGAATAATGGTGTGTTAAAGACAGTTTGTATTGTCCCACGAAAGAGAATCATTAAAATTTCAACTATATTAGTAGCTTGAAACTGGCCATGACAGGACAATTTATCATTTACTACTGTGGAAGTTAAGAAACAAAACAAAGCAGGATTTTTTCCCCAAGTGTCATTTGTAACATACTGACCAGCACATTACTGAGTTAGCCATTTTTGAAATTTAATGTACACATTAATAATAGCATATTGAGAAATTTTCATTTTTACACATGCATTTATTCTGCTCTGCTGTATCAAATCTATAAACAGTGGATTGTTTAAACTTTTAAGGCCTAGGTTGGGCTGTATGAAAAAAAGTATAGAGAGAAAAATTGAAGCTGTAAATATAAGACAATTATGAATATCAAAACTATTATCAAAGGTAGTGACCCAAAAAGTAAAGAAGATCTTCATTGTATGCCTATTAGGGATGAATGAAATAACTAAGAACTAAAGTCATAAGGAAATACATTGAATTTATTTTATATACTCTCAAGGAAAATGAAGGTTGAGAAGTTAGGTCTGGCAGGTAGCTCAGTGGTGCAAGCACCTGCCAGCCAGTGCAAGGTCTTGAGTTCAATTGCTGACACCCCTGCCCCCCACCCCCGCCAAATCACATAGTAAGAAGCAAAGGAGAATGTCAGTTCGTGTAAATGATGAGAACCTTCCAAAAGACATAAGTTGCTTGAATCCATGTATTAGGGGTATATCTTGAATAATGTTTATCTAGAAATTCTTACCTGCCTCAAACACTCAAAGATATGATGAATTTCTATTCTTCATTACTGTTATTGAAATATCATTATTCATTTCGAATTCTTCGCACTCATGGGCCTTTTTTACTGCAGAACCCCAAGGAGAGAATTTTAGTATTTTGATCTAATTATCTTAAACAACCTCCACCCCCCCCCCACTTTTAGCCCTAATGCTCCTTCCTTACAGATTAAAACATTTCTCAGTTAACATTAGATGAAAGTGTTGGTTTTGTACATGTCTAATTGAAATCTTCAATGAAGTAAAAAAGTATTTCAATGCCTGTCCATCTCCCCAAAACCATAGCTGGCTTTGTCTTGCTTAACTCTGATACATCCTCCTGCCAGTCTATGTGGTTTCTTTCAAGTTGAACTTATGTTACACCTGACTGAACTGGTGATCCCTGGCTTAACACAGAGTATCTGTTGTGACAGAATTTGTGGATTCTTAACATCTCTCTTTGTAGACATAGGTTGTTTACCATTTTCCTGTCATTATGTCACGAGATACTATATTGAGTCCCCTGCCTCATCTTCCTACACTTAAAGACAAGTGACTTGTTTTGCTGCCAAATTGAGGCAGAAAACTGTACACCAGGTCACAAGATATCTGAAACTTTATACCAAAATGGACTTAAAGATGTTTAAACCTCAGTGCTCTTGTTTCTGTGAATTTTGAATTATAGCTATAATTAATATTTTTATTTAATAATTATTAATATAACAATTATGTGCTGATAATTATAAGACACATTGAATGATGGATTGTTTTGCTCCTGGGGCACTTAGCATGCTTCTCAGTGCACAAATGAATACCAAACCTTTGCTGAATGGAAAAACAAATGAATTAGTATGTAGGCAGCTCATAGAAGAATTCCAAGACTAAACAAATATTAAATACACAAAGCACATACAAAACCATGCATATGTAGAATTTTAATAAGGAACTGAACCAATAAATATTGATATATGTAAGGAAAATAATGAAGGAATTTTTAAAAAATCACATTAGGGTCTCATGATACTGTAACTTTCTGGGTTAAGTATGTATATATATAGTTTCATAATCTATATAACATTAATGATGATTATTTTATCATGTACATAAGCTGCTTTATAAGAATAGTATCTTTATTATTATCATTTCAAGGTTTTTTGAAGTCCATGAAATGTCTCCTTACCAATCATCTCTACATTTTTTATATGATTTTTACACTGATAAATTTCAACGCTGCTGTAGGTGGAATTACTTACGTCTTCAAGTTTGTAGAACAACAGTTTGGTCAGACTGCATCTCAGGCTAACCTTCTTCTGGGTAAGACATACTTCTTACCTGTTTCCTTGATAAAGTGATATACAATGAATAATTGTATTCCAAATGACAATTTATAGTATAATTTTATATTTCAGTAAACAATTTCCATGTGCTCTCTCAAACTTTGTTGAATTTGTCAATTATTGTTCTGGCTTTGAAGTTGCAATTTATGTTATAGTAGTTTCTAAAGGAAAAGTAGCATGTTGAATGGAATATTTATACATTATATGAATGTAATTAGATTTTATAATTTATTGTTGAGAAACTCAAGCGAATTGTTTTAAAATGTGATTATTTCTATAATTCATGGAATTTGAAATTAAAAAGTCATTGATGTTTTTAAAGTAGAAATCATTTTAAATACACCATCAAAATATGCATAATTATAAACAAATATATTTCTGAATTTTATGCAATATCTTTATAATGTCATATTATACTCTGCTCATTAAAGAAAACTTTTTGTTATCATTCTTTCCACAACTCCATTATTGTGGAAATATAAAACATGTTTGATGAATTAAATGTTTATCAAATGTTATATAACTAGATCATAAATATAAAAGAAAAAATAAGTTGAAGATGATTTTCTTAAAGTACTGCACCAGGGTTCTGTGATTCTCTCGTCATATTTAAGACAGTAGTTAACTGTCAAGGTTAAATTTTGACTCTTTAACCAAGTCAGAATTTTTTGATAGAGGCCTCTTCTTGCTTAGTAACTATGTAGGTGAGTGAAATAACAAAGTTATAAAAAGGGATCAAACATTTTAAATTCCATATATACATCTGTTTGCTCATCTGTGTGAATAAACAAGAAATAAATATGAACTCTCTATATTCAACTCTCTATATGAGAAACCTTACCCAGCCACTTGGCAAACTGGAATGCATTTTTGAATGTTGAGACTGTTCATTTTGAAAATGTAAAGGATTTTAGATAATATGAGCGCGTGTCCTAATAGAAAAATTGTGTATTTTTGTTGTTTTCCAGGATAAGAAACTTCTCCATAGAAATAATCATAAATATCATGTATTCATTGCATTTGTAATTAAACTAAACTCTCATTTTTGGCAGGAAGAAATTATTTTTGTCTCTCCCATGCCAGTTCTCTTCACCATTTGAACCTGCCACCCTTCTGCTTAAGAAGAAGCACGAGTGGATGAATTGTGCTGATATGTACTATGTTACATATAATATGCGGTGTTTATATGTAAAGGCATATCAGAACAACTATATTTATATAATTAACACTTTTCTCTTTTTATTTTTAGGACTCATGGTTCTACCTAGTATGGCAACTGGAGTCCTTTTAGGAGGATATCTCACTAAAAAGCTGAAGTTAACTGTAGTCGGAATTACTAGATTTTCATTATTTACTTCCTCCATTAGCTTCATGGTGCAGCTACTAAGTTTTGCTCTGATGTGTGAAAACAAGTCAGTTGCTGGCTTAACTCTGAGCTATGATGGGTTTGTACATAAAAATATATCAATTCACAATGTGTTACCTATCTAATAAAAAGATTCTGGGAAACTAAGGAAGAAGAAAAATTTTAACTAAGCTTTCTCTTTGTCGATGTAATTTTTATTTACAAATTCCCAACATTTACATTTCTTAAAACCTAAACTACTCGTTTTTTATTTCTTCTTTAGAGAAACTTGTAACAATAATAAATATCATTTATGGGGGTACTTCTGATGAAGGATGGATACGTTTATTACCATTTTATAGACATGGAAAGTAAGACTTGAAAAGATTCACAAACTATATATTATATGTATAACTATGTCTGAATATAACCTGATTGGTTATCATTCAAATATAGAGCTTTTGACTCTAAAATGTTTGCTTATAACTTCAAAACTATTTCTCTGACCTACTAAACTTGAATAGGTCATGACTGTAATGTAAATGATATTCTCCAAAAATGAGTGAACAAACTTTATTCATAGTCTAGTGTTTACAGACTGTCTTTATATGAGAACGCTTGCAGACATTTTACTAAGTTCTTATTTTTTCAAAGACAATACTGCTGTTTTATATGGGTTTTATTGTAAATATAGATACTAAATATCTTCTACAAAATATCATATTACACTTTGAGAATCTTTGCTTAGTCAAAGTATCCCTAGTACTTCAGTCTACCCCAAATCAATGGCCAAACTCCCCTATAAACTCACATCTATTGAATACAGTTAATGATTTAAAGTTTTTGAAGGCTCATATTCAACCAAATATCCTTGGCTCAGAGTTCAGTAACCATGTACTTTAGTGCTATTTAATGTTAAACTCTGAGTTTTTGAGCTTTAGGCTCTCTAAGGTGTCAGTTTTAGCTTTTCAGTCTTCCCACATTTCTTTTGTTAAACGTCATCCTATTCTTGGAGGCATGCCCAGTTTATTTTAATTTATCTTCTTATTTCTTCTTATTCCTCATAGTCTTTGATTATTCCCATTTACTGTCCCTGTTTTACTAAATCATAACACAGCATACCAGACGTTCAAATTCCAGAGGTAAAAAACCTTAAAAATCATGCAACTTAATCTTCTTGCATTCTTCCCTTTATTATTTACAACCTAGATAAATTTGTGCTATCCTCTTCTCCTTTTTCTTCCCTCCTTTCTCTTTTGCTCTTCTGCTTCTCTATTTTTATATCCCTGTCTCATATATTTCCAGACTTAATCCAGTGACACCTCATGCAAATATACCACTGTCATATTGCAACTCGGATTGCAATTGTGATGAAAGTCAATGGGAACCCGTCTGTGGGAGCAATGGAATAACTTACCTGTCACCTTGTCTGGCAGGATGCAAATCTAGAGGTGGCGATGAGAAGTCCACTGTAAGTATTAGTGTTACCTTCACTCCTATCCATAAACAAGATCATAAGTTACATTTAACAATCACTTATCAAATCTTCCTACAACTAGTGTCTCTGCAGATGATTCAGGAAAAAGATTCCAGTATTCTGTCATTGTGATAGCTGGGGTGTTGTATACACAAAGCTGCATTTAAAACTCTTGCTTGGGGATTCAGTCAGGTTTTTCTGTTACTCTAATTCTAAATCAAATTTATCTCACTATATTTTCCTTGAAATTTTAACTGTATGATCTTTTGCAATATTAATGTAATTAACATCATTATGGATCATCTCATTTTACTGAAGAAGTATATGATTTCTATTGAGTTGAAATTACTTAGCCCTTCAGAAGTCAGGGGAAGTCAGTCAAGTCAGAAATACCTGCCTCATTAGAACAGATAATACTTACTTAAATATAATGAAATATAGCTGCATAAGGGTTTGGATATTTCTTACATAATATTTCAAAAACTGTTTTTTAGGTGTATTATAACTGTAGTTGTATCGAAGTTTCTGGTTTCCCCAGCACAAATTATTCAGCCCATTTGGGTGAATGCCCAAGAGATGATGGTTGTAAAACTAATTATTACATTTTTATAAGTGTGCAAGTTTTGAGTTCTTTTATCTCAGCATTGGGAGGCACTTCATTTATAATGCTGCGTATGAGGTGGGTAAAACTTTTTAAAACATTTTCCTGTTATATTAGACTATAAGGATATTAAATGATGTACCTATTTTTCATACAATATTTGGGACACAAACTCATTTTGTGTATATTTTAATTAGTAATATATCTTCTTAGGGTTATTTCCATATTTAGATGCCATAATTTTGTCCCTCATTCTTAAATTGAGATATAAATTCCATACTTTCTCCTCTTTACAAGAATCTTAAAACAGGCTAACAATTCCTCCCATTGTCAAAAATCTCTATGATTTTGGAAGAAATTTTATTATGAGTTATTTGGCATGCAGATAAGCCTGCCAGGGATAATCATTTATTAATTTCATTGAAAGAAAATGTTTCTGTATCAGATAAAATTTTAAATCTCAGTCAGTAATATTTCTAGACTTTTCATCCACCAGAAGAATGGCTTTTGACTTAGTCTCTCAACAAAAGAAAAAATAAGCAAAAAGCTTTTGATTTTTATTCTGTATTAGTTAAATTATTTTAAAAGATACTATGCTTAATGAGGAATATTCCATGGTGTATAAAAATAATAAGGTGTCTCTTTGTATTCATGTTAGACTGAGTATAATAAGCAATACTGACAAAAGACAAATAGACTTGAAAATATGTAAATAAAATGTTCTTGATAAAATAAAGAAGGAAGATTGTTAAATAAACAGGGAAACTACTTTGGGGTGGAAAAGAGGTACGATATGGATAAAGACTCAAACACTGTGACGTTTGATCTAAAGTTCAGAAGACCAAGTAGCCCAATGAAGGTTATTTAGGGAAAAGGTCCAGGTGCCCATGTCCTCAGGCAGCAAGAGGCTAGAATTTTTGAAGAATGAAAGAAATGTTGGTTGGAACACTCAGAATGCTGTGGAGCAGGTTAGCTCCACTGAAATCATATAGAAATTTGGATGTAGACCTCAAATTATATATGCATATAAGTATGGTGACCTAGTTAAGGTTAACATCTAATGATTGTTTTAAAACCTATCTAGTTGATTATAATGTTACTACCAGTCAACAGGAACAAGTAGGAGTTCTTAAGAATTCTTAAAATGAGTATAGACCTGTAAACTGAGACTACAAAAATTTAAATTCTATTTTGACAACTATCCTCCCAAATTACTTCATTAAGTTATTTTACTAATAAAGCTATCTTCACAATATTATAAAATGCCTCCTCATATAGAGAATATTTTCTTACTGCCAAATTACAGATTCATTAACTTATAGAAAGTCACTTCAGTCATACTAGTTTGAATCTCAGTAATTTTTTGTTTGAATTGTCTTGAGAAATTTAGAAGACACTGTTTTTTTGTTTGTTTTTTTTTGTTTTTTTTTTTTTTTTTTTTTGTTGTTGTTGTTGTTGTTGTTTGTCTTTTTCCTTATTATCGGTACCGGGGATTGAACTCACGACCGCCTGCTTGCAAGGCAGGTGCTTATGCCGCTGAGCTAAATCCCCAGTCCCCAGAAGACACTGTTTTATCACTGATGATGGCTACATATGATTTTTATTTAAAATCTGGTTAAATCATCATTATTAGTTTTGAAGAATATTCATTAGTCTCTTACCAACATTTTATTGCAAAAAATTTTGTGAAACTGAGTGTAGAATAAAAATGTGCACTAGAGTTTATTAATGATTTTTCAGTAGTTTTGTCATACAGCTAAAAACATGATAAGAGATTGGGGTTAAGAGATGAAATGTGAGCATCCAAATCATAGTAACCTGGTGACAGGGAAGCACAACACAGGCAAGGCAGCAGTTAGGCAAAGTTCCTACAGCAGTGCATACTCCATGTTTATTAGTTCAGGGAGAGAGAAATAAGAAGCTTAGTGCCCAGATCATGTGGGGCATAGTAAGGACTTTGGAATGTGTTTTAAGTACATTAGGAAGCCAAGAAAGAGATTCAGCACTAGGGTAGTGCTGCTAACTTACCTCATTAGAATATTACTCTGGCTGCTAATTCAAGAAAAATTTGGGAGGAGGCAAAATGCAGTAAGGGAAAATAGATGGCTCTGCTTATTTTCAAGAAGGAAGAGATTGATTGAAAAAGATCATTGTTAGGTAAATGATGGCAGCTGGTAACAGAATACAGCCAGCCTCAATTTGGTGAGACTTCCTGGGGTGGCTGCAGTCTGACTCAAGTATTTGAGTGGGGTTTTTATTGACAGCGTTGCATGGTGTGGAGAGCAAATGATCAAGGGAAACAAGACAACCTGAGTATCAAAGGCTATGGGCCACTTTGCAACTGCTGACTTAGTGACGGCTAATATTTTGTTGTGCCAGGTGTGCTGCGTCCCAGCTGGGCAGGCTGTGTGACAACAGGATAGGGGGATATTGTTTTGGGAATCAGGCAGCTGGGACGAGCCACTTCAGGAACCCAGGCAGCTGGAGACAGACAAGGTTCAGACCTCTCAATTGTAGTAATGGATGCAGAAAGCGATTTGAGTGTCAGTTTTTCCCCTTCCTTTTTAAAAGACAAAGTCAATAGAATTTAGAGATAGCACGAGTTGGCATGATGTGAAAAAGAGAGTTTAAGGATGGTCTCTAATTCTGGTTTCAGACACTGAGCAACATGGAAAAGACTAGGGAAGAGTTGGTTGAAGAAGGTGGAAAAGCAAGGCCCTGTTCGGTATCTGCATATTGAAGAGGTCTTATAGATATCTAATGACTATTTCCTGTATAATTCCTCTGTATATTTCCTGTATATAATTTCTCTTCTTTTCGCTCTTTCTCCAGCAGAAAGCCAAATATTCTATGCTGTGTGTTGACAGGGGCTTTAGGTCTCATTTGGAATCTTCTTTGAAAGAATGGTGGCTTATCCAGTCTGATCTAGATCCGCAATCTCCCAAATGAGTGTATGGCGAAGGCTTAAATAAAATGAGACAAGCACTATGATTTTAAAGATCTAGGAGCATCAAAACCCTTTATCTGGGTTTGAGACTCTGAGGGCTAAGACAAAGACTTCTCTGGACCACCCATATTTATTAGGTCCAAAACAAAGGGCAGGGAAACCGGAAAGCATGGGAAATGAGCAGGACCTCAGGATCACTTCAACGACTTCTCCAAGTAGTAAATTATGCCAAGTTAGGAGAACCATCTTATCTCCATGACGACATTTATGGTAGGAGTGCGACTATAGGAGTGAGATTCATTCATCTGCAGTCTCTGTTTACTTAGCTGGAGCTAAGGTGTCATCAGCTGTGGCCTTATCTTGCCCTTTGAGGTGTCTCTGGATTCACAGGCCACTACAGGCCTCAGCCAGGACCAGTGATTCATAGAGGTTCACTTACTATGAATCAGCCAGCTCCTGTCACCAGGCCGGGGGCCTAGGTCCAGACAGACTCACACATAAACATAGAAATCCACTTAGTTAATTTTAAATCCTGCTCAGAACCGCTTCATAGTAGTCTCCAACAGTGGCTGGTTATCATTAAAGAGAACAATAGAGTTTCAGTGAAAATTAAGTCTTTTATATTAAGAAAAGATCCTGTAATAATTAACAATAACACACTTAGAGTGCTTTGCATGATGAATTCATCCTGAGAGTTCTATCAAAGTACTGAGGTGCTCAGAAGAAATCCACAGAGTCACACTGCAGTAATAAGGACTTACATGAGGACAGTGGTACATGAACACACTTAGGTGTACATTTGAATATAAGCAGGATGGGTACAAATGTGGGTGTGTGAGTGTACACATGTAAACACAGGGCTATTTGTGATTTTGTGTTGTGTCAATATATCACACAGATCTACCATTTCTGCTGAGTTTCTGGTAAAGGTTTTAGGCCCCTCTTCAGGAAAATATTAACCCTCTATGCTAGTCCTCGTTCTTCTGCATGGGGGCTTCTTTCTAGGTGAAAAGAGAAGTTGATAACAAGTTTCACTTTGTCTCTCTTGTTTCTAGTGTCAAACAAAAAAGCAGTCTTTGAAAATCAACAGCAGTAGAAACAGCACTTCAGGCACTTGTGAGAGAATTCAAGCAGTGGGAAAATGTGGTCTCCTGCTTACCAAACTCTGCCTTGGGAAACATGGTATTAGACAGAGAGAGATTTTAATAGAGAAATTAATTTCTGTTTCATGATAATTTCTCCATCTCCCCTGTATCAGGTACCACCTTCCTTAGTAATAGGAAAGGCTTCCTGACCCCCGGACTCAGTACAGGATCCTCAGCTAAGCTAGAAGAGTTTAGGACATGAATTTTTTGTTTTGTTTCTTAACATAAAGCTATGGAATGTTTAATTTTTATTTTATTTTTAAGTTAATTTCATTGATACATTTTACGTGACTTGACAGTCCCATTCATGATAGAGAATTTGTGGCTATGCATAATATATTTTTTCATCTTTTTTTCCTTCAACCTCCTTACCTCTTTTAAACCCCGCTTCACCTACTTATTTACTAAACTTTTATTTCCATTTTCTATTCTTTATTTTCCTTTTATTTTCCTTGCTTTCCCCACTCTCCTTTCTTGTTGCCCTTCCCATTTGAACACTTTCTTCCTGTTTCTAAATATCTAATTTTTATTTTGGTCTATTTTTATCCTTTTGGTTTCTAGCCCTGGAGAATGTGACACTTAAACATGTGTGTCCAATTCATTTCACTTAAGAGTATGGTCTCAAAGTGCATCTAATTACCTAGAAATGTCTCAGATTTACCCTTCTTTATAACAGAGTAGTACTCCATTGTATAACAAAACTATATCTTCTTTATCCACTTATCCTTTGATAGGGATTTGGAATGCTTCCAAGGATCAGTTATTAAAAACTGTGCTGCTGTATACATGGGTGTGCATGCATCACTATGGTATGAAGCTTTTAGCTCTTTCAGAAAGATTCCACAATTGGGGATAGCTGGCTAAACAGAATCTCTAGTTTTAGCTTCTTAAGGAATTTCCACACTGGTTGCACCAGTGTACAGTACCTCCAACAGTGGAGAAAGGAGCTCTCCCCCCTCACAGCCCTAAGACTGTTATTAGTTGAT